ACATATCTTTCTACAATAGAGGGTAGAAGTAAGGAACAGCATTTTAAGAGAACAAAAATTTCCATTCGAAAGCATTGAACAATAGTTAAGAACTTACCAGAGTGGCGCTACTGTAAGTAAAAGTTATGGTACGTACTTAATACCTAAAGACGAAATAAAATGTGTCAAATAAAGTGTAATTGATGAAGGATGGCTGGTGGAAAGATGGATAAATATTACATTACGTTTATTTGTGATCACATCGACTTCTTATTTAAAGACGTCTTTAGTTTTTTCTTCCTAGTTACTGCACCAACAGCCACAGTAGCGCCATCTACACACATACTTTGTTATACTCAAAGATGGTGTTTCTGCCAACTACCCTCCATACTCTCTTCTATCAGAGCGTAACCAATCGAAATATCGTTATTACGCCTTAATAAACATTGGTGATGTTTGGAGGCATTTTCGCCAACTTCTAACATTAATATTTATGTAAAAATAGTTATAATCGTAATTGTAATCGTCATTTTACCGCAAGGCCACCTCTATTATTGACAATAATGCCACAGTGACGTTGTTTTGACATTTCTAGCTTAAAATAATAGGGTATGCCAACCTGTCGGTAAGTCCTGGTATCATTCAAACACATTTTATTGCCTGTAATGTATTTTATGATTTGATCACTTTTAAATGCTTAGTTTCAAGTTATATTTCAAGCCTCTTATATAATAGAAATTACTCCGAGTTCATAAATTTCATTTAAAATTACAGTATTTTATTATATTTTTGCTATATCAAATTTATTGCTTCACATAACATTCAAATGTAGTAATTTTCGGCTCTTTCTCGATTTTCATATATTGAGATTCTTAGTTCTAATATTTACATACTTAAGACAGTCACAAATGAGATGAGATTACACATCAAATTGTATGAACAGGTTTAAGGGCCCGAAATGTAGATGGAGCTACTGTCTTCATAGATTATCTTTTACAAATTAGAGAGGCTGAGAGGAGCGGACACCCTCGGGGCCAGTTGGCGCTCCAATAATTTATTAATACGTAAAGCAATCTTTCAGAGGCATACTTTGAAAAAATCGGCGTAAATCTGGAACGTGAAGATTTGAGAAAAGAAATGCATGTTATAAATTTAAAAATTACGGAAAAACCAACAAACAATCGTCCAGTGTACATGTTTACTTGTTATAGCAAACAAATATACACAATAACAGCTGAAGCACTGACCAAAAAATTAACACAAAAAAAATGTTTTAAATCATATTACTTGAAGTTATAAAAGCTATGTATATAAAAATTATATCCATAAAAGATCTTCGTATTTAAAGAGATTTATTAATATGTTGATAAAATATATACAACAATTAAAAACAAGGAACTATTAATAAGATCACGTAGTAACTTATACAAAATGCTAATAAAACAACAAAAAAACCGATTGCGTAAAAATACTATAAAATACCTACTTAAAATTTACAAAACGGTGATTTTAATTTTTAAAACTTTCATGTTTGCAGTGTCATTTTCACAATTAAGACGCGTCTAACGACACTCCCCAAGCCAAGTTCCATAAAGTCGTTTAGACCACAGAACGTGGCGAAGAAATACTCAAACTCCTAAAGCAGTCAGGTAAAAAGATACACTCATTTACGAAGTGATCATCAACGCTTTATAAAAGAAAACAAAACTCGTAATAACTATTTTACAAAGGCCATTAGCGCAGTATAGCCATGATATCCTTGTCCTATTGGAAATAGTCCAAATTTAACCGCAGAACTGATATTTAAGTACGCAACCCTTGTCTCAGCAAAATCAGTCTCAGTTCATATCTGAGTTTACCAGTATCCCTTACCCCAGCTGTCTTGGCCTATTCCAATCCAAGTTACCTACTTCTTTTGTCTCGTTTATAACTTTTGACGTGACAACGTCTTATAATTCGATGGAGCCGGCTGCACGCACGAAAAAACATGACTCATGCGGCGTTACCTCGCTCTGAGGCGTTCCATTTAAGGCTTGAAGTGCAAGCGAGAGCGCGGAACGAGCGACAAAGAGGCACAATCGGCCTCCGCCTTCGGCAGCGTTCGACATCTGTCTCTCTCCTACTTGAGTGAGCGATGCGTCCGCGTGGACAGCTGCTATACAATAATACATTTACATGTTTTCGTAAAATGCAACCATTCCATCAGTATTTTCTTATGACGTTGTCACGTTCAACTATCGTCAGTAAACCGACTTTACAGACAACCGATTTTTTTTATTGCCAAAGAGGTTTGGTGTTAGGCCAGCAGCTAGTCATAAAAATAATCAGGATAATAGTTTTTACAATATTGCACATTGTACCGATCTCAAATAAAATTGGGGGCAGATTAAGGAAATACTGATTATTTAACAATCCTTATGAACGAAATAAGGAACACAGAATAATATGTAAGACTTTTTAAATAAATAAAATTTTTAATTTAATTTACAGTAAACAACCTGTCAGGTACGAGTTGAACTCGAGCGCCAAAGGTTCCGTACCTACCTAGATGTTACGTAGATTTTCGCGAAAATTTGTAAGTACCAAAATTTATCTGATTTTCAACTTTTTTTATTTTGATAATTTCAACTTGCTAGGTCTACCCGTTCCTGCGACAATCGGTGGTGACACACGGACAGACGAACAGACGGCCAAGAAAGTGATCTTATAAGGATTCTTTTTGAGGTACGGAACCCTAAAAATAGTAAAATCTCTTATGGGTTTTGAAATTTTGCAACTTGTGTGCTCTAGTGTATATGTATTGCTGTTTAACTCTCACTACATGAGATGAAATAGATCAACCACATTCTGGTATTCTGCCGGATACCGGATAGTTGGCAAGTATCCTATTGGATACCGTATAGTAAGTTTACGTTATTTCACTTATCAAAAGTCGCACACCATTTATAACAAAATGATATTAATTTTATTGTAATATATAAGCAAATTACGGTATAGAATATCAGATTCTATGAAAATAATATTTTATTATTCATTAATACTGCCAGCAGGTAAATTAAATATGGCGGACCTAATTCCGTGGGCATTTGCTGTCATAAAACCTTTGAGCTGCCTGTGTTGTGTGTATTTTTAAAAGTTATGACAATATTATTTTTTGAGATTAATCGTTCAATAATTGTTTATAGAGACAATATGTGTCTTGTTTATGAAACCAAAAATATTTTTTTAAATAAAATAAATCACAAACCTAAATAAACATATAAATATCTTAAAAATGTGTATAATTGTTTTGTTTTTTTTCTCAAATAAGTAAAATTATATTTACTATATTATATTTAAATTATATTTAACAATAAAATGTTAACTTATTAAGCAAATGCTTATTAATTATTAGTGTGTAATAATCTAACGTCTTAAATCAGTCAACCAACTTTAAGTCAACAACAAAAAAGTTATTTAAGTAGCATAGAGACATAAACAAATATAGCATTCATAATACATGCTTAACGGCTTTAACGAATTTTAATTAAACACTCTTCAAATTGTCTATAACTCTATCTACACTAGCGCCATTCTGATTGGTTTTGGATCTCTTTACTGCTTTATGCTTTTTTCCCGCCCAAATATGTAAATGCTTCTTACCTCTACACCTCATATATCTATGGTGCATGCAGCACACGGATCCAGGTTTTAACTCAGGGTTGCGTTATTTTTCACAAGGACTCACAAGTTCCAATTTTATATACGTCAATAATAATAATCGTACTAACTAAACCCAGCTCAGAGGGACTCATGAAACCAATGACAGATCTCCGGATTCGGTCTTGGTGACTTTACGATTAAGTTTGACGAAATTGCAAAATTTCACCCCAAGGCTTGTGCTAAGCACCACATTTCGCATAACTCCTCAGCTCATGGTTAATTTATTCATATTTTTTTTAATGATTTAGTATTAAAATATTTTATACTAAATTGCTACCTTTTTGCATCGAATAAGTAAACACATGTAGATACTAATGGTAGAATCGTACTTGTAAATAATTTTAGTCAACACGTTGTCAATGGTGTTGCCATCAGAAAAATGGAAACATACAGGGATTTTTATTCATTTTAGTTTGTTTAGGAAATTATTGTTATTGATTTATGATATAATAACAATATTATTTTTTTAAATGTTTAAATTAAGATACTACCTCAATTTCAGTTTTTTTTTAGGGACAGGCTACTTTTAAGTGGGTGACACTGGCGTAAAACCCATCCAGAGATTAGGGTTGGAACTCACCACCACTCAATCGCAAGTCTATAACCTTAGCAATACGCTTCGGCCGTTAGATTTTAATCAATATACAGCTTAAACGACCCTCGCCCTTTTAAATTTGTACTAGGCAATATAACAATAATTTCAAATTAAATTATGTATTTCTCTAAGACAAGACAAGGCTGAATTGTTTTTTTTTTTAACATTACGCTAAGATCTTTAAGAGCAGTGCAGTATACACACAACACTGGGGGAATCGGTTACTATGTATGTTATGAAAGCAACACTACGTGTTGGTCACAGTTTCCGTGTGGTGATGGATTAAGAATATGAAGTGTCACCACCCCTATTCATCCCGTGGGTGTCGTACGAGGCGACTAAGGGAGCAAACCACGAAGGACAACACCACTGCAGAGGGAAGGAAAACTTGACACAAATCCTATACCAACCCGTCTGGCTAGCGTGGTATAGTAGGCCATAACCTGCTTTCTAAGGAGAGACAGTTGACAAACAATTTGATTCAATATTGTTGTTTTATCCGTGATATTATTATGATAGTTTAGTAGGTTTTATGAGCTAATAGTGGAAGACTAAATCTGGGCTAATTGGCCCAGTTCAGTTTACATGTCATAGATTTCTTTTTAACGTCATTAGGAATACACATGTGTTCATTTTACATATATACATGTTCAATTTTATATGTCTTAAAGTCTGTCGTAAATACCTGCCAATACAGATTCAATTCAAGATGTAAATAAGTTAATTATGTATTAGAATTGGTGTCTTCGTCATCCTGCCTGAGGGCCAACATGTCGGGCAACTTGAAGTGTTGCATGTGGAATGGAGGTTCAGGACTATTGCTAGGACGACTCGGCTGAAAGGAAAACATTATATTACAGGTACTGGACATCCTGACAAGAGACAATTCGAGTGACAGATTCGAGCTTACAGTTTTTTCTTTCGAGTCCTTTCCGAAACTAGGTTGGGGTCTGATTTAAGTTTAATACGATACGGCTGAACTTAGATTTTTTATGCGGATTGACTGCCTTCAGACCTCCACGACCCAAGTACTAGGCGATATTGAAGTTCTGTAAAAAGGCTGTTTTAGGACTTTTTAGGGCTCCAAATACCCTTAACGATTACCACAGATGTTCCTATTCCCACTCGAGCTTACAGTTTCCAGTTAATATAATTTTCAGTATACTCCCGCTCTTGCCAGAATACGTCTTTTATGATTTGGAATTTTCGTTGCTATTCCCGAATGAATGAGGCAGCCGCAGCCCCATACCCGAGGGGGGTTTGGAATAACCTCTAATTGTAGGAGACTCCACTGTACCATTTTTTTTTTCCATATTCACACAACGCCATCTAGTCCCAAACTAAGCAGAGCTTGTACTATGGGTACTAGACAACTGATATAAATACACATAATTTTTTTTTGTAAATACATACTATATTATACATAGAAACACCCAGACCAAATCAAACATTAAATGTTCATGCACACAAATGTTTGACTTGAGCGGGAATCGAACCCGCGGCCTATGGAATAGCAGTCCGTTACACATACCACTACGCCATCCGGTCGTTCAAACGGAAATAATTCACACAGTAGTATAATTATTGATAAATACATATTGTGGGGTTCGAACCCACAACCACTTGATGGCAAACCCTAGGACCTCGACTTAGTGATGATGCAACAATAAATATTATGTTATATTACCTGCGTGCTACGCCCCCGACGACGTTGCGGCAGGATACCTTTTCTCGCCATAAAGAAACTAAACAATGTAAAAAATTCATTAATTACACTACGAATGAAGTTTTTTTTCTATTTAAAAATGACAACTCCCGCACTAGGAATATATCCTGTGTCGCGGAAGACTTTACAAACATACATGAAACGGACACACAAAGCACTCAGAACAACAATTTGTGGATCACACAAAGTGTCGTCCCATGTGGGATCGAACTCACAACACTCGGTGTAATAGAAAGCGGCGTGGCGACCGCTTAAACTACTACGCCATCGCCTAATTTATGTGTTTATTACGCTCTACAGCTTCAAATACTTAATTGATTATCATTACTTTTGCATGAATATTGTGTGAGGAGTGCAGTAAATAACATAGGATATTTTTCACCCTGAAAAGTACCTACTGTATTATTAGAATATTCTTTTTTTTCTACTAGTAGTATTATTTACTTTACTTTTTTAGTTGGCAACATAATATTTTAGGTTATTTTATTTATTTGTCGTGACCAACCACGCTTATAACGCTTATATAGACACATATTCTAAGGCGTTAATCGTCCCTCTGCACGTACACACCATACAAATAATACAGATAGAGAAAAGGTATTGGATTGCCTGTAAGTGGAATAGCGATTTCGGCAGAAAGAGAAAGAAGACGACGACTTACATGCGTCTCTTTCGCATCTCTCTCTCCGCGTCCACTTTGGGTCAACAAATCAGCGAAGAGATGAGATCTTTTGCTACCAACGTCCCCAGATTGTGGCTCGCTTATCCCCTCTATCTGTATTATCTCTATGGTACACAAGCGTTTATAATCAGTAGCTGTCACTGTCAAAATAATTATAAACTCACCGTATGGTAGAGATAGGTATATTGAACTGTTCAGACACCGTCTGGAAGGTCAACCCTCGACTGACGCAGTCGGCTGCCTGCCGTAATACTTGCTCACTGCGACGGATCCGCTTATTTATACTGAATTCTGTTGGCTGTGATGATTGGCAAAGCATCTGGAAACAAGGAAATAAGTTCAGTGGAACAAAATTTGAATAAAAACAAAACACAACATTATAACAGCAGTAAACGCGGGAAAATTTAATATTGAAACTACGGCTGTCATATCGGCCACGTTTATTGAGTGTTGCCAGCAACATCTCCGTATTTTTAACCAACTTTTTTGCGCTGGAGGCAATTAACTTATTATTATTATTATTAAACTTGTCAAAGTTATGCAGATTAATGCTAATGTACTATTACAATTTTCCCTCAGTGATTTACTTTCAAAATTGTATCTTTTTTACACTGTACAGACGGCCGTCTGATCCCAAATTGACCTGACCTGCTTATATATTTCTAAATACGTACAAATTATAGATAAATTCTGCCCACACACAACAAATAATCGTGCTCAATACACAACATTTGTCTTGGGTGACAATTACCGATGGAATAAAATCACAATCACCTGCCATAAATCATTATAATGCACCTGTGGCTAATCCGCAAAATCACTGCGTTTTATGATTATGATTACGACCAGACTCGCGTAAGGTCTAAGTAAAAAAAAAGTCGCAGTCTTTGATGATATATTTGTTTTTTCTTTGCTTAAAAGTTTAATCACTGTGATCCTTGGTATCTTCGTCTATGACCAAATCACAGTACTGATTTATCACAGTTGAAAACACCGTGACTAAAATCTATCATTTAATCATAGGATTATTATTTAAAGATAGCAATTATTTCTTCACACGACAGGATCGCTACTACACCAAATAGCCAGTCAAAAAAATTAAAAATATTGTTCATCTCACCTGAGGCCTGTCTCCGACGTGTATGACATTAACTGACGATGTAGGGCCAGGCCCTATCGTCATTATCTTCGGCGCAATTCGAGGCTCGAACCGCGCCGGTGGCGACATTTGGACTTGTAGCGCCTACAATCATATTTTAAACTAATCATTTGATAAACAAACATTCTTAACGCTTTATAATCACTCGAAAAATATACAAAGTGCAAAGAGAAGAGAATGAGAACAACATTATTACCATAATTAGTGCGGTGTAGAGGAACACTGAACAGGCGCGTATGTCTTTTACGAGCTTTGGGTGCATTAAAACTAATATCAGAGAGAAAATCAATCCTATTTATTTCACCTCTCATAATTGCGAAGAAAAAACTCATGTCTAAAAACACGTCAACACAACACGAGGTTGAAGTACGCCCACAGTTTATTTTATTTTATTTGGGACAATAAGCAATTGTACAATAAGTTTAATATTAGTAGAAATAGATAACAGTAATTAATGCACAACCAAATTAATTATCCACGTTTTACAAATTGAGTCTTAATTATACCGGTGCTTTCGCTGTGCAAGTCTTGTTCTAAATTGGTATAGACAATGGTACGCTTAAATTTAGCGGCAGACAGTGCGAAGACGTTTCATAGACAACAGTTTCATAGGTATTAACCAGCTGGAATATCGGGGCGCGTCGCCCGGCGTTACTTCGACACGGCGTGGTACTAAAAAGGCGTCCCGGCCTTACTGCGCGTCTTTTATACACTTTATACTAATACTTTTATACACTTACCGCATTCACATGTTGTATAATAAACGCCGGGGGCTCATCCCGTGTGTCGTAGTTGTGATCGTCCACAGGATGCGCCACCACAGCGCTAGTCACAACTCCTGAGGTCACAGACTGCCGGCACTCCTGCTCCGTGTCTGATGGACTGTCGTACTGGCACTGGACGTTTGCTATAGGAAAGTCTGTTAACAATAATTTTAAGTTCGTAATTTTCAGTTGCAAGGGTAATAAACTACTTGTGTTCCCAAGACTCTCAGACCTGGTAACGAGGGCAGATATTGGAAGTGTCCTCGATCCCGGAGTAACCGATGCTCATTATGATGCCTGATACAGGCCTATTCTCGTAATAAAAATTCGGTCAAAATTCAGTTTCGATCTTATTTCAATCTCAAAATATTACTAAGGCTAACACATTACGGTATAACCACATTACAGTTAACGATAGACCTATAATACTGTACTACGAAACGTATAGGTTTTTTTTTCCGTTCGGATATCCCCTCGGATACCAACTATCGGTGGCATGTCGGACTCGAACCGACTAAAACCGCACACCGTCTCGTGTACTAATAGCCGGGGAACCAGGTATACCCTAGAAAGGAAGTACCTAGTGCCCCGACATACCTCGGGCCATCTACAAGAACAGGTAGACGACCCCCCCGTGTGGGAACCCCATGTTCCCTCTGCTCCCTGGAAGCGAGCGCGCTTCGCTCGTTCTGCGACCTCCGGCGCCTGAGTCGCCTGCGATACCTGGCCCGTTCCCGGGAGGCCACCTTCCCCTACATTTTATAAGATCGGAACTTGTAAACGAATTATTATTACGAGAATTGGCTCTGGAGCTGTGTTCTAACGGCAAGAATAAAGAAGAGAGACAGATGAATTATTATGTCTTGGCACTATAATTTGATGTAAGAGATTGAAACTACCTCTGAGGCTAATTTATATACCAAATTTCTGTTTTATTTCTAAATAATCCTTTTAATGAAAAGATTATAAATTTGGTTCTTTTTATTGCACTCTCCAGTACAACCTAGTCGAAATGCCAGGCAATTCACAGGTATCTAATACCTATTGACAGCATTGATTCGTGTATAAGAGGTAGGCACAGCTGGACTATCTATGGAGGATATTAATTATTAAAAGCTTTTCCCGCGGTCTCTTTAATATACATAGATTTCCTGTCAATCTAGGTATTCCTCGTAAGCTTCTTACTCTTTAAGGTCAATTTGGAAATCTGCTTTATAACTCTTTTTTAGGGTCCAGTACCTCCGCGGCGTCGATCCGGGGGGGGACCTGAAATAACATGGTCCGGGTCCTCCTCGGAGTAGGGCGCCTAAGTCAGGCCGTCGGGGTGGTTTTTAGTGGAAACACCACGATCCAAAAGGATTTTCCACCCCGTCAAAAAAAGGGTTCAGTACCTTAAAAGGAAAAAACGGAACCCTTATAGAATCACTTAGTTGTGTCCACACACCGTCTGTCTGTCTGTCAAGACCCTTTATCTTGGGAACGCGTGGAGGTATCGAGTTGAAATTAAAAGATATACTTAGGTCTACAGTCCCTTGAAGCTGTGAAAAAATCAAACTTCTAAGTTAACGTAAAAAAAGATACCATTTTATGCTGCAAAAAGCGGATATTTTATCACTCTCAAGGGAATCAAAATTTATAGGGTATTTTTCGTTGACCATGAACTATGAAATTGGCAAGTAATACCGTCTTATACTACAAGTATATAAAAAAATCTGCAAACTATACATTTGTAATTAAATCATTAAAAAAACTTGGTCTTTATGCAAGGAACGGCGGTCCAAATTTTGAATTGAGTTATTAGAGTCATGTGGGGTATCGTATAAAAGGGCTTCATTGCCACAAGCTGAAAAATATTTTTATTTTATTAGTTAGTAGTAGTAGTTTATTTAGTTTACGATTACAAATTTGTATGGAACCCTCGGTGGGTGAGTTCGACTCGCACTTGTCCAGTTTTTTCTCTATTATGCAAGTGATGCTAGCGGACTGTTAGGTAGAAAATTAACCTTTTCGGCAAACCTTTTTCTATTGTAATCGATGTTTTTTTATACCAATATTGCTATCAAAGGTCTACAGTTATGAATAACAATAAAACACTAGAACTATGTTACTAAATGTTTGATTGACTGTGTGGAATCGTAGTTAACAAAATCGACCTTATATGGTATCGGTGGTAACGAACTATAGCGTGATTCAGAAGATCCATTCAACGCCATCTATCGAATTCTATACCAGACGACATAGTATAAGAATGCGAACCGCAGTTGCCGACGCGGGATTCAAGATTCCTTCAAGGCTTTTTAGGATATCACATCACATCACATTAATAGTCCATTGCTGGACATAGGCTCTCCTTAGGAAGGAGGTTTTGGCCTACTATGCCGCGCTGGCCAGTGTCCGTGTGGTGACGGATTAAGAATAAGGAGTGTCGCCACCCCTATTCATCCCGTGGGTACGCAGGACAACAACACTGAAAAGAGAAGGAAAACTTGACACAAACCCTATACCAACCCGTCTGGCCAGCGTGACATTTAGGATATAAGTTTTCTAAATCTTATAAATATATGTCAGCGTCATCTAGAATGGACATGGTGAACTACACAGTTACTACTAATCCTGCATCATGCAAATAATGTTTGAACCACCAACCATCACGCTTGGTAGACTAAGGTCCTACACCTCAGAATACCAAGCAGTGTAAGTCAGTATATTTGGTCAGATGCTTGCCAGAAGATCCTCTTTTTTCCTAAATTCATTTAGTTCTTAGTAGACATAACTGTGGTATCTTATTTTCTACTCTGCAGTGTCTTGCCTCACTAACAGTTACTGTTGATAGGACCTTTTCTGAAGATTTAAGGTTTGGTCTTCACACTGCTGTCGCTAGTTTTATATCAGTTTCAGGAAGAGTTTATAACGTTCACTAAAGGGAGTCAAGTTGTCCGTGTGGTGACGGATTAAGAATACAAATTGTCACCACCCCAATTCATCCCGTGGGTGTCGTAAGAGCCGACTAAGGGAACAAACTAAGCAGGACAACAGCACTGCAAAGAGAAGGAAAACTTGAAACAAACCCTATACCAACCCGTCTGGCCAGCATGGTATAGTAGGCCAAAACCTCCTTTCTAAGGAGAGGCTTATGTCCAGCAGTGGACTAGTATAGGCTGTTGATGAAAGGGAGTTAACCAAATCGACAACTACATTAAATAAAAATGAAAATATTAAGCCTCCTCCAAAATCAATTTTATAACTTCTAGTTAAGTTTATACGTAAGTTATTTTTATGGCGACATGCAGGGTAGACACACAATATTTGCTACTATTAAAGAAATGACCACATTTACACGACAAAAATCATTATTTATTATTTTTAATACAATCCCCGTAATAAACGCTTAAGTTACATACTGTTATAACAATACGAGTAAATGGGAAATATATTGCAATTCCCATTGGTATGACAAATTTTCCCATTTGTGTGAGATTAGTTAATAAAATTTGACAAAGGTTCTTATTATGTTAAACTTTTTTTTATGTTATAAAGGAGCAAACGAGCAAACAGGTCATCTGATGGTAAGCAACTCAAAAGTGACAAGTGCGTTGCCGCCCTCGGTGTCCCTATCGCTTGAATCACTTATGAATGAAATGAATGAAACTTAAAATATAGATTTGGACAAAGAGGTACGAAGTTGGGACCTGAGCTTCAATAAATTGGTCTCAATCTCTAGATAGCGCCTAATAAGAGATAGATTAAAGCAGGGCGCTGCGATTTGACTGAGATTCTGCTTGTGTTTCTACTGGTAAATCTAAATACGTGATGACCAAGTATGAGGTAAGGAATAGGGGTGGAAATCGTCAGAGTCGTAGAAGTGTCGGATCTGACATTTATTGAACTTAACAGGGCAGCTATTTCAAATACTCGTAATTATGTTATTTTTTTGACATAACTTTTTTAACTTTAAACCGGTAATTATGAAAATTGGCATACAAGTGAAAAATAGGGTTTGTTTTGAAATGCAATAAAAAAATTCTAGAAAAATCACATGCTTCATTTTACTTTGAGCTCCTAACAAACAAACACTAAACAATTTAAAATCTAAAATTAATATAAATTTATCTTAAATGTAGTAATAATATTTAGACAATATAGTATCCAAATATGGTAAAAACTGAATTTCGTATTTTTTTCATAATCGACATTATTCTACAATCATGACGATATGCTTTAATATTTGACTGACACCCAAAACAAGATGAGTTTTCTATATAACTCCATCTTAGAGCCATGTATATATATTTAAATATTATATGCAAGTTAAACAGGTAACCGTAAACACTAAAAGTATATGTAGGAAATATATAAGTTACATTATGCTAAACTTCGAAGGGAACGTTTTTTTTTATGTTAGAGCGGGAGTAGACGAGAAGACGGGTCACTCAAATGCTAATATGTCGATTTCCGGTAAATTATAAAGCTCTTAATATTTATTTATTTTTAGAATTCAATTACTCAAGTATCATTTTGGTATGAAAAAAATACTAAGTGTCAGTTTTTTTTAATGTCATTTATATTACCCTTTAACTTACGTCATCAGAGTCATCTTATATCTGTTTTTCTAATGTATCGTTATTTTTAGGGTTCCGTTTCGTACCCCAAAAGGTAAAAAAGGACTTTAAGGCAAAAAGAAACTTCTTACAATACAAATAAAGGAATAATTTAAAAAAATAAAAAAGTTAAAATTAAGATAAATTTTGGTTGTAAGTACTAAAATTTATCTTAATTTTCAACTTTTCGCGAAAATCTACGTAAAATCTGGGTAGGTACGGAACCCTCGGGCACGAGTTCGACTCGTACCTGACCGGTTTTTATTTATATGATATTTTTTATGCTACGACGTTTCAAACACACAAGGCCATTAAAACTTATGAAAGGGCAAGGGCAATAAAACTTATGAAAGTTTGAGTTTATGTTGTACCGAAAGCGATGAATTTTATTTGCTTTTAAATGTTTTTTTTTTTGTAATATTTTGTTTGAAGTATAGTTTCAATATTAAAAAGATAAGTAACGCAAAAATAGCATTTAACATTTCAAATTATCCAACTTAATATAAACATCTCACACAAATGGAAAAATGGATATTGTAGTCGTATATTTTATTTAGTTACAATTTTAATATAAATATTATTAAGTACTTATTATTTTACTTACAAATCAATTAAGTACAATTTTAATAATTGCCAGCTTAGAATATTTTATAGAAGGAAAAAATAAAGATTTAACTAAAACTATATTAAC